GGACGCCCCTCCCTAGCGGGGCGCAGCTCCTCCTCGCCTCCCGCCCTGCCGGCCGGATGGGGGGCGGCGGGTCGGCCCTGAGGGTCTGCGCCGACCACCGCGGGGGCATCAACTGGCTGAGCCTGAGTCCCGACGGGCAGCGCCTGCTGACCGGCAGCGAGGACGGCACGGCCCGACTCTGGAGCACCGCGGACGGTCGGTGCTGCGCGCTCCTGCAAGGTAGACCCGCCGCGCCGCGGCCTCCCGTCCCCCTCCCCGTCCTTTTCACCGCCGCTCACCTGCCCCAGCCCGCGGACCTCAGCTCTGGCGCCCGCAAACCCTTTTCTAAGTTTCGCCCCGCGCCTCTCCGCACACTCGTGGAACATCTCTTCTCCGCCCAGCGTCTGGCCAGCTGAGCGCACGGCGAGCAGGGTGAGGTTTGGGGTAGGGCTACGTGCAGAGCGCCGTGCGGCGGGGGTCAGGTGGGCCGAGGGGCGCCTGCTGCAAAGACGAAGACCAGCCGGCTGCAGAAAGTCTACTATGACAACTGCAGCGAACAAAGTCGTTGCACCTATACCCCTGCTAAGCAAACCTTCCCTTCTTTCTCGTTGGCCCTGTGATCTTTGGCTGGCACTTCCTCTTTGCCACTATCGTGGTAATAGCAGGGGCTCGTTAAGAGCCCCTCACTCTCTGAGGAAGGATAGTAGATTCTGAGAGGCCTACTATGTCCCACGTACAGACTTGAAGATTGAGGCTCGGAGTTCGGTAGCTCAACAGGACCACACTCCCAGTCGGGGTAGAGTTGAAATTTGAGCCCCTCCACCACCTACCACCCTGACCCTCTCAGGCTCTACTGTAAAAGAATGGGGTGCCGGATGGGATTGATCCAAATTTCTCACGAAAGGGGTGTTAAATCCATGTAGCATACTTGAAAAAATAGGGAGAAGTGTCAGGAGGTATCACACATAGTAGTGTAAGTACTGTTTTATGGAACAGGTTTTTTATGCGTATCTATTGGTTTATTTTTTATTTATTTATTTTTAAATAGAGATGAAGTCTTGCTATGTTGCCCAGGCTGGTCTTGAGCTCCTGAGCTCGAGCAAGCCTCTTACTCAGCCTCCCAAAATGCTATGATTTCAGGTGTCACCCACTGCGGCCAACTTACTGGTTTATTTGTGTACTGTACTTATTCTGGAGGTCAGTGTTCCTTGGACACATTTTACCCTGGGCCTATCCAGTGTTCCCGTTGACAGTGGGGTCCCTGTCAACTCTGGCCCTATTACTGCCAGAAAAGTGTACACGGTCCCCTTGATGCACAAGGCTTTCTGCACCGAGTACAGTTCTTTATCCCAGCCAGCTTTTCTGCCATAATCAGCAAATCCTACATGGGCTTGCCCAGGCCTTCCCATTTAGGTAGGATATTAGCCTCAATATTGCCTGATCCTGACACTATTGGTTTGAAATAAAAATGGTTAAGGTTGATATTTCAAAGCCCAATAGGGATGAGTTTTGGATTACCGGTTTCTTTGGAGTTGGTGTAGATAATGGAGAATTGACCACAAACTAACACTCCCTCACTGCACAAACAGCAAACAGTCACACATACCAAAAGGTGCTCAACTAGTAATAGATAATCTGAGGTCAAAGCTAGCTGGGCGTATGGCTCACACCTGTAATCCCAGCACTTTGGGAGGCGGAGGCAAGAGGATTGCCAGAGCCCAGGGGTTTGAAACCAGCTTGCGCAACTTGGCAAGCTCTTGTTCCTATAGTCAACCAAAAAATTAGCTGGGTGTGGTGGCTCGCGCCTGTTGTTCCAGCTACTTGGAAGGCTGAGGCCAAAGGATCTCCGGACCCCAGCAAGTCGAGGCTGCGGTGGCCGGGAACGTGCACTCCAGCCTGGGTTACCATGAGACTCGGACTCAAAAAAAAAAAAAGAAATGTTAAACCTGACTTGTACTGATTGCTTCCCAAACATAAGCTTTATTTGGAGGGGTTTCAGAAATGCAGGTTCCCAGGCCGGAGCTCTAGTGACCAACCTTTCAGATGGATTTGATGCACAGCTAGCCCTTGGAGCCCAGTTGGCAAGGTGGGTTCCCCCCAATGAAGCTCCAGGCAAAAACTGCCAGCTCTGTGCCTGGCACCTGCACCTCCTTCCTTCATACCTGCTTTGGCAGACCTCACAGCTGCTTGTCCCCTTAAGGCACTGGCACCCACTTTCCAGTGAGGGATGCCTGCCCTCCTGTCCCAGCTGAAGGCCACTCTGCTCACGCAGAGTGGTGTTGAATGAACAGAACAGCTGCCCATTTCTGCTAGGATTGTTTGTGCTGTGTTAAGGGCATTTCAAGAACTTTGAAGGATGAAGGGGGCAAAGGTAACCTTTCTTTATCCTGAGATGGCACTGATAGACTTAATTTGCAAAGGAGTCATTTGGCTGTGTGACAATCCTTTTGTGTGCCCCTGCCCCAGGAAAGCAAGGTCTTGCAGCTCCTTCCTCCAAGAAGAATTTTTTTCTATTAGTGAAATATTAATGAAATATCTTAGCATTCATTTAGTGTCCTATATTTTATATTTATTATTACTTTTTACAAAATTTTAGGGCTATGGGGTACAAGTGGGATTTACTACATAAGTTGGTTGCATGCAGGTGAAGTTTGGGCTTCTAGCTGGCCCACTTCCTCTGATGGTGTAACAGGTACCCAGTGTATTAGTGCCCTGTGTTTTATAAATACATACCTGTGTGCTTCTTTATTGTGTGGTGAATCCTTACAACTCTGAGGCAACTGGGATTGACAATAGTTTACAGATCAGGATGGAGAGATGCAGATTTAGTTACTCACGTACAGAGCATTCTCTGTGTTTTCTAGATACTGCTGCTGTGTGGGGTGGGGCTATTGTCAGCATCGCCTGAGCTCAGTGTGATCACAGGACCTGTCCAAGGTCACACAGCTGGTCATGGCAGAGAGGGTTTCCGGCTGCTTTGTGATTGCTGCTCTCTGTGCCCAGGCCACCGGCTGATCCATGGCAGCCGTGATCCCTGGAGGTGTCCTGACTCCAGGCCTTCAGCTCTGTGTCCACTCCTATTGCCAGCTCCTTGCAAAGCTCTGGACCCACAGAAGCCTCTGAGTGGAAGCCTATAGTTGGCCGGGCCTGGATTTCTTAGGCAGAGAGGCAGGGGTTGGTGACTCCACATGGGTTTTCCTCTGAAGAGGCACTTCTTGCTACATCCATGGCAGCAGAGGCAATGGAGGACTGGAGGCTCTCCTGTGTATCTTGCAGAGCTAAGGAAGTGTGGGCCAAGAGGTGGGATGGAGAGAAGGAACGAGGGCAGGTCCCTGTGGAGTGGGGCTTGGTGGACAAGTTGCTGCTCTTGGAGGCCCTGGGAGAGTGGACTGCGTACCTGGGGCATGGGGAGCCCCCATTGTGAACACGTTCACTTTTTGATCAGTGGGATTGGCTTTCAAATGCACTTGGGTGAGCTCACAGTGAAAAAGGCTTCATTGCCAATTCTTCTGGAACAGGAAGAATGACTCATCATGTCATTATCTCAGTCCCCCTGTTTTCCCCTTTTATCCATTGAGTATTTATTTGGGGGGCACTCTCTTGTATCAGCGAGATGAGTGACATTTTCCAAAATGGTGGTGCCAGTTCTGTCTGTTCCTGTTGTATAAGGGACTCAGCCTGAAGGTTGCAGCCCACTCCACAAGCTTCCTTGTTTTCTAACAGGATGGCGTTTTTAATTCCGTGGATACAAACAGCACATTCCCATTTCCTAGGAGCTGGTGCCACCGGAGGTACCTGCCTGGGTGACCCCTATTGGCCACCAGTGAGCAGGAGACATTATCAGTGGTCAAGAGGCTAGGCTCTGACGCTGGACTGTTTGACTTTGAATCCTGTTACTTCACTTCTCTTGCCTCAGTTTACCTGTTTCTTAAAACATTTGAAAAACAAAATAGGGATTTATAGACACACTGCAAGTCGCCAATGGCCACATCAGTGTTTGTTTCAGCCACACCTACCGTGCCCTTCGGCCCAGACGCCATCTGCCTCTTCATAAGGCAGCTCCGTCATCCAAGATTCTGGCACCCTCAAAATAGGGTTACAGACGCTACAAAATGTGGGCGGAGTATAAAAGGGTACCACAGTGCTCATGGCTGGTACCAGCAGGGCTGTCATCTCTCTCAGATCTGCATCCCAGAAACAGCAGTGAAGGATGCTTCCTCCCAGGGGGCGGTGACACTGGTTGGAGAGCTGCAGCCAGCCTGAGGAGGTTCTGCAGGGTTGGGGTGGGGACAGGCCCTCGACCTAAAGCCTCCTGCTGGGACTTCCAGTTGTCTGAACTCAGCCATAAGTCAGAAGACTTCTGAGGACTTGCGCAAGAGGGAGCCCTGGAATCTGTGCAGGTGAGGGGGAAGGTGAAGAAGAGGAGGGAGATGGGAGACAAAGACTCAGCCTCAGCAGGCTCAGTCAGCTCCCTCCACAGGTGAAAATAGTCCCGGCAAGGACTGAGGTGGACCAAGTAAGTGGTGCTGTTCCTGCCGTTACCTGCCTACACTCTGGCCTCTAAATCTGGAACACTGAGAGGAAAAGGAGGCACAGTTCCCATACTGAGTCCCAGGCATGTTCAATTGGGCCAGGCCCACTGCAGCCCACCTCTGCAGGCAGAGACCCCTGGCCTTGTGATCAGCAGCTCTGAGCTGCTTTTCTCTTGCTGGGGCTGCAGGGGGTGGTGGGAGCGGTTTGACTTGAAACTTCCAGCAAGCTGATGGCGGGTGTATGGGCCGCTACCTTGGCAGGAAACCCTCCGGCCTCAGCATGTTCTTAGAACATAATAACTGCATCTTATCTGCATTCTTCATCCCTTCGAAAATATTTATTTTTAGCTTGGCTTTTTTGCATATTCTGCAAAATCCCAACAGCTGATGACCCAGGCGCCGCGGCCCCCAGAGATGTGATGGGCCCTTCCTCCCCCATGTCCTCTCTCCTCACTCCCGGGGTTAGGGTGGGGGCATGGGCTCCATGGGTGGCAGGCCTGGTTCTGGCTCCCATCTCCTTGCGGTGGTCCCGCAGATCTTGGGTCAGTGGAGTCCTGTCTGGTGTTCTGTTGTTGATGTGTGGTGAGGGTTGGGGACATGCTTCGTGGTGGCACTGGCAAGGGGACATGCTCTGTTGAGTCTCTCGGGGCCCTTCCACCCACAGGGCTCTGACCCGTGACTCACTCGGCTGTGTTTTCAGATGTGGAGTGATTGCTTGGGAACACAGAGGAAGGGGCTTGTCCACAGCAGAGCCCTGACCGCCATGAGACTCTTGTGGGCTCCGTGCCAGGCCCCACAGAGGGCAGAGGGCTTTAAATCAGCCTGGCCTGGGTTCAGGGATGAGGAGAAATTTACTGCATTCCTTTCGTTATTGCCTCTTTTCTTCAAGTCTTTGTGTACATTTGCATTGTTATTGATTTGCAATCTGTGTATATATCCTTTTTGTTCCTTACACATGTTCTAAAGCGGCCCTACATCGCAGGATTTCTGCATCCCTGGCTGGATGACTGTCGTTCCACTGGGTAGAGGTGCCTTAGCTCACTAGTTGTACTTGGCTTTTTAGTGCTTTTTTTTTTTTTTTTTTTTGAGTTGGAGTCTCAC